AATGTATCATGAGAAATCTGGTTAAGTTGGTAGATTCTTTTTTAGGTTTCATGTGATTTGAAACTTTCTTAGAGACACAATTCCCTTAACTTAGATTAAAAAACAAGTCATGTTCTTTTCTTTTTACGGTCACTCATTTACACAATATTTGTTAGCAAGTATAAACTTAAATAGTGTAGTCCATTGATTTTATGCAACAAGTCGATATACGATTAACTGATTTTTATATGATGTTTGCACTTGACCACTATTAAAGTTTACAAAACTGAGAATGAGTATCTCAGTCATCAGAATACAACTGTATATACCATTGCTAAATGCATGTTTTTATAAATGCAACGTGCGCACAGGAAGACCAAACAAAAATTGTCATATGGAATTATATTACTAAAACAATGAAGGATACATTTTGAGATTTTACAAAAGCAGGCAAAAAATAAGAAACCCCGAAAACATAGTTCAAACACAGAAAACAAAGGCCCGAACAAAGGAAACTTAACATAAAGATAAAAACTAAGAGAAAAAAGTAGGGTAAGAAAAACTTAAACATCAAATCAAATGTTCTTAGAAAAGTGAAGACGCTAATTGGCTATCCCCCTATGTATTAAATTAGGAGGAGGTTATATTTATATATATAAATCAAATGTTGCTTAGAATTGTTTCAAAATAAATCTTTTTGGTTTAAAATATAGAAAATACCTAAGTTATAGCGTCGTCAAAATGAATGAAAAAAAATATGTATATAAGATAATACCAAAAAAACAACTTATCTGTCTAAGGATTTATTTAAAACAAAAAATATTTACTTAAAATGTATGAAAACTGTCCAAATTAATTATTAAATGGATGAGTAGCTGTGTTTAATAATATTACCAAGGTGTCATTATCTGAGTTCACTACTTCAACCTATTCATATCAATCTTATCATGGTGTCAATATTGTTTATGTATAAAATGTAGAAAAATATTGATATATATATATATATATATATTTAATAACTAGATAGTAATTCCTGCTTTACTATCTGACTAATATTTTTAGAGTGAATGTAGTTTTTTGAGTTGCCCAATCACAAAGTTTTCAAATAGATTTAAAACATAACATCATTTGGACTGACCAAATAGGAGTGCATAGAATATAATGATATGTTATCAGATTAATATATGCTTTATCCAAAAAAAAAAAGAAGCCAAAAGCAATGACAGAATTCCGTTCAATTAGTCTTTGTAACGTAAGCTATATAATTATTTCAAAGTTTATATGTAAAAGACTAAAGAAAACATTACCAAACTTAGTTTCAGAAAATCAGTCGGCTTTCATGGCTAGGCGTTTTATTACTGATAACATTCTGTTGGCACAAAAAAATTTCCATACCCTCCGTACCAACACCGTTTGTAGAGAAACTTCATGGCCATCAAGACAGATATAAGTAAAGCATATCATCGGGTAGAATAGAGCTTTCTTGAAGCCCTTATGATCAAGCTAGGATTCTTCGAGAGATGGATCAGACTCTTGATGTTCTGCATCTCCTCGGTCTCATACTAAGTCCTTATAAATGGCGAACCGAAGGAAAAATCATTCCATCAAGAGGATTGCGGTAAGGAGATCCGCTCTCTCTCTTTCTCTTTATTCTGTGCACTGAGGCTCTTATCTCACTAGTCAATGGAGCAGAGGAGGAAAAACGTATTTCTGGGCTGAAAGTAGCTCAACCGAGTCCATCGGTTTCACACCTTCTCATAGCTTCTTCTTCTGTAGAGCGGATATCCAGCAGGGAGTCGAGGTTTTCAGGATTATTAATACATATGGATCAGCCTCGGGACAACAACTCAACCTAGGCAAATCATCCATCATATTTAGGAATAGAGTGGACCCAATTTTAAAGCAAGGTATCAAGAATGCCATCGGAATATCAACAGAGGGCGACATGGTCATGGACATACTGAGGCTCTTATCTCACTACTCAATGGAGCAGAGGAGGAAAAACGTATTTCTGGGCTGAAAGTAGCTCAAGCGAGTCCACCGGTTTCATACCCTTTTTTTTGCTGATGATAGCCTCTTCTTCTGTAGAGTGGATATCCAGCAGGGAGCCGAGGTTTTCAAGATTATTAATACATATGGATCGGCCTCGAGACAAAAACTCAACCTAGGCAAATCATCCATCATATTCAGGAATAGAGTGGACCCAATTTTAAAACAAGGTAAAAAGAATGCCATTGGAATATCAACAGAACGTGACATGGTGATAACACCGTATTTTGACCAATTTTATGGATCATAATTGTGTCTTATGAAGGTGTTTTAACTCTGTTTTCAATGTTTTTAAAGTGTTTTTAATGTTTTAGAGTTTCAAAAGACTTTACAGGAAACTAGGGCAAAAGATATGCAATTTGGAACAAATGAGCAATTTTGGATAAATGCAGACCGTCAGAAGTATGAAAAGCGATGAAGACTTTCTCACCGTCTGATCACCCCAAAATTTGAGACAACATAGAGGGTCCAACCAGCTTTCTAATGCACTTGGTTTGGAGACAATCCAACGGTTAGATCTTGAGATAATCATGATGCAAGAATGACAGAAAATGCAGTTCCGGAAGAGGACCACGAGCCAGGACCGCGGCCAACACCCATTTTCCCGCGGGTAGAGCCACCGCGACCGCGGACTTTGGTCGTTCACTTTCCCGACGACTTAATTAAAGCCCAGATCAATTCCTTTCGTTATTTTTGAAGCCCTAAGTGTCCAGAACCACCCCTAAACCCTAAAGAGGAGGGACCGAAACTTAGATAACTTAGAGAGAGAGAGAGAGAGAGGGATTTCGTGTGGAACCCTAGAGAGGAGGCCGCCACATCAGAAGAAGGAGCCGCCGCTGGAGGAAGACATCGCGCCTCCATCTGCTTCTCCGTTCTTCGTTTTTCTTCCTTATATTTATTAATTTCCTGCACTTTCAATACTCTGTGATGATTGTTTACAATATGTTTGAGTAGTTACCCAGTTGGGTTTAAAAGAATTTTTCAAAGGGAATTTCATGTGTCTTTGCTTATGAATCGATAGATTTATGATTATTAATCTTCTAGATGTTCTTCGTTTGCCTTTAATCTTACTGTGTGATTCTTTGCTGGCCACTTAGAAGCCGATCTGATATGATGTGTTGCGAAAGCTTTCATTGATTGTCTGAACTATGGTGAAACGAGCAATTCTTCTATAGGACTGGAAACCTACCTGTAGTTGAGTTGTGAATATTGATGAGTCTTGTTTTGCTATTACATCTTCTCCCTTCTAGGATCAGAGTGGAAACCTACTGATCAGGGTTGCGAGAGATAGTTGTTTAGTGCTGCGAAAGTAGGCTATTCATACTTCTGTGCCTCGAGTTCTAGAACATACGTATTTGATTACCTTTATCACTTGTTTAAAATCGACATAGCTTAGTCCATGAACCCCTGCGAATACCCCTTGATGCCCAACGTTTGTCTTTCATTGCTTACAACCTTAGATTTCTATTCTGCTTTTATTCGTTTGTTACTTGCTTTCATTCATAACCGATTTTTACTTGCTTGCACTTGCTTTCGTTTTTATTTGCTTTTACTTGCTTAGCTTTCTAGTTTAGATTTAGTGACAACCAAAAACCCAAAACCAAAACCTGTTTAGTTCTAATCTGATTTAAGCGTTGCAGTGAATTTGTACTGAAACAACTAAGTCTCTGTGGATCGATACCCTAAGTACTACAGCGCACATCTGTGCACTTGCAGACATTTAGGAGTTATAAATTTAAAACCTGAAGCTTAGTAAAACGAAAAACAACAAACCCCGCGTTTACACTCGCATCACATGGGTATGTATCGGGTCTTCCAGAACAAATTTGTGGATCGAAGAAGAAAGTGTTCTCTTATGTCCATGACCGCTTGAGTAACCGAGTCAATAGTTTGTCTGCAAGACTTCTTTCCAAAGGTGAAAAAGAAATTCAAATAAAATCGGTTGCATAAGCTGTTCCTATGTACGTCATGTCATGCTTTCTATTACCTCATGGAGTGACTGATAAATTGTAGAGTGCCATTGCCAATTTTTGGTGGAGCTCAAAGCAGAATAGCAGTGGGATACACTGGATTTTCTAGGATAAAATCTGCATTGCCCATGGGAGGACTCAGATTTAGAGATTTACAAGACTTTAACTTAGCCATTCTAACTAAGCAGCTATGACGACTTATTCAGTACCCCTCATCTCTCTTGGCTCAGATTCTAAGAGGCAGGTATTACAGACAATCTGATCCTTTAGAGGATTGGAACGTTTATTCACCATCTTATGGGTGGCGGAGTATTATGGCCGCAAACTGTTCCTGAAGATGGGCTTAAGAAAGACGATTGGATTGGATCTAAACACGAAAGTTTGGAGTGAACCGTGGATTCCAGATCTTAGAGATCGGCTGGCAAGAGCTGCCATGCAGATCGGATTCCGGGATCCGGGTTTATTGGTATACTCTTTTATCCGTCAAGATACAAAATAGTGGGATGTTACCCTTTTAAGAGAATTTTTCTAACCTGAGAATGTCCCTCTCATCCTTGGGTTGAGACCTAGCCGTAACTGTACTTTGGATGGATATGCATGGAATCACTCTAAATCAGGACTTTACTCGGTTAAGTCGGGATATGATCTGATTAGAAGGACGAAGTTAGATCGGGAAGCTAGAAAGAGAGAACCGAGTATCATAGCCCTTCAAAGCCATGTATGGAAAGTTCGTACACTTGGAAAGATGAAACATTTTATGTGGCAATCTTTATCAGGGTGCGTTGCTACCTGCCAGAACCTCACCTACCGACACTTGGGCTCTGACAAGCGCTGCCCCTGTTGTGGGGATCTAGAGGAGTCTATAAACTACCTACTGTTTTAATGTCCCCCGACTTTACAAGTCTGGGCGTTATCGAACTTTCTGTCCCTTCTGGGTCTCTTCCCGAGTACCTCTATTTATCAAAATATGAGCTTTCTCTTTTGGGAAACGAAAAGTTAGGCATGACAGATCCTCAGAAAGATGTATATCCTTGGATCCTATGGTTTATTTGGAAAGCAAAGAACGACAAAAGCTTCAACGGGAAAGAATTTTTCCCGGAAGATACCTGGCTCCATGCAAAGGTGGAAGCAGAAAGTTGGAGTATCGCGAACCAACCCGAAGAAGACGATGTCGCAGACATTAGGAAGATGGTCCCACCTCCGCCTCGGATATCCTTTCCTGAAGACCGGCAAATCCTGATATACCGGATTGATGCTTCTTGGATCAATCACGGACCTGTTAGCGGCCTCGGATGGAGTTTGGAGGATGGCAGGGAAAATGAGATTTTTGGACTACATGGATATCGCAGAAGTCTCTCGGCTCTTCACGCCGAGATAGTTCTTTTTCAGACCGATTGTTCGGACCTTATGAGCATACTTGGATCTCCAGCAGATTGGTCGTCCTTTATGACAGAGGAGAAATCCTTTCGTATTCTTTGAGAGAGCTGTTCAGAATTCACTCTATCTTATATCCATAGAAGTCTAAATGTTCGGATGGATAGTCTTGCAAAACGAGTCTGAACAAGAGGATTTTTTTTTTTCAAATCAATCATACCGAGCTGGTCGAGGATGGTTCTCGGATCATTTCTCCGACTAGCCACATGCGATGTATTAGTTGGGTAGAAGAAAAAAATATATATAATGATATGTTTTGATATTGTATCTGAATTTTCTACGCTGAAAAAAAAAATATACTAGATAAAACTAATCCAAACATGAAACAACAAAAAAAAGCAGGTTAATATAACATGTTTCTTCGGTCTTGCATGATTCAAAGGAATAATAGATAGAAGGATTAAAATAATTTGTTGTTAACCAAAAACAAAACAGATGGATAAAGACTCCAAAGAATATTAAGGTTTCTTCGTCAAGACTCCAATATATACTTCTGCTTAGAGTTTTGAGTCTTCTGACTAGCAATGTTTCTCTGAAATAAAAGCATGTCCTTGCCAGTTTGGCTCTACGCCTCTACCAGTCTGGTTACTTAACTTTAGATGTTTAATTAATAAGCGGTCGATCTTAATTTCAATATCCTAATCTAACAGGAGTAATTACAAATTAACTGGATATGGCGTGATCAATATTTTGCAGTAAACGAGTTGATACATTTTACCCTACAAAAGCATTTGACATAATGCAATCAAGTTTCTGATATATTAACTATAAGTGGATAGATATCAAAGTTGCAAGATTATTTGGTATTGTAAGATTTGAAAATCTTACCAAATGAATGGCTATAAAAGTTTTAAAACCATAAATTTTTGTCCAATATCGAAAATACTACAGTTAGGTGAGACATAACAATCATAAACAAAAATAAAGCAAAATTTAATTTATTATAAGATTACTTCTATTATGGTAAACCAAACCATTAAAAATGCTCCAAAGTTTTTTCTAATTGCAATGTAAAATGTAAATATTTAATCATCGAATTTTCAAGTAGCAAAGTATATATAAATACATAAATAGTTGTTTTGAATGATGCATATTTTTTTTGTTTTTTTTGTTAATTATAAGAGAGATTCGAGTCTGGGCCTTAATCTCCTCCATGATTTGGAACTGTTTTTACTAATATCTTATAACATGATAGTAAAACATTCCTTCCACGAGGAATCGATTTATGAACATAGAACCAATCCCTATATTTAACCACTAATTCATTTTATTTGGTGGTTTTTTTCGTCTGTCTAAATATTTTTTTTTTAAATAGGAATATATGGTAGAATATAGTTTTAATACATAATACCGATAACCAAAATTTTTTAGAAACCAAATCCAATATACGGGAAATATAGAAAAGGAAATTAAAATTGAAAGTGATAACTCTTGAAACGATTAATTAAATCGAAAGAAAATAATAGACGAAAAACTATAAAACTCACAAAATGTTCCCGGAAGGATCTATAACCGCAAAGGTGGAACTACGTATAAAAAAAGAAAATATTGTACATATTAATAGTTTCATAAGGAAAAAAAATACAGTAGTCTTTCAAAAAAAATATGGACTATAGTTTATAGCGTATAGAAAAAAATACAGTATCACCCTTCTTTCAAAAAAAAAAAATCACTATAGCGTATGTGATCTGTATAAAATGTACATGCATGATCGTTATAGGATGCGATACAAATACAGATGTCAACAATCTAAAAAACACGTTTACCTTGAAACGCAATCTATATACGATGAATGAATCTTATTATAATCTCTGACATCTAAATTATTACCATGACTTGAAGATTGAACAAAAATTTATGTATATAACTTTCTCTCTTTTTTTTTTTATCAGAATCGATTAATCCATCCACATATAATAATTACAAGCACAAAAGATCGTCTCTTCTTCTTTCCCGGAAAATCCTCATTTTGACTTCCTCTCAGTTTTTTGCTCTCTACAAACCAACAACCCTTAACCCTAATCGCCATTTCCTCCGATTTCTCAATTCTCCGGCGAAATGTCTCACCTTGACGATCTTCCTTCCACTCCCGGAAAGTACAAGACCGATAAAGTTCCGCCGTACGGGATTCTCCACCACCACCGTTACCTCCGCCTCTCGAAACTCACGCTTTGGGCTTCGCTCTTCCTCGCTCTTTTCCTCTTCTACCTCGTCTTATCTCCTCCGCCGTCTCCTTCTCGCCGGAATCTCTACGATTCATCCGTTTCCGCCGCTAAATACGGCGGTTCTCACTGGGAGAAACAAGTCCGGAAATCCGCTCGTCCTAGGTCCCGCGGCGGTTTAACGGTTCTAGTCACCGGAGCCGCCGGATTCGTCGGTACCCACGTCTCGATCGCGCTGCGGAGACGCGGCGATGGGGTTCTAGGTCTCGACAATTTCAATCGATACTACGATCCAAAGCTGAAACGAGCAAGGCAAGGGCTTTTGGAGAGATCAGGAGTCTTCGTCGTCGAAGGCGATATAAACGACGCCGTTTTGCTCAGGAAGCTCTTCGACGTCGTCCTCTTCACACACGTGATGCATCTCGCTGCTCAGGCCGGTGTTCGCTACGCGATGCAAAACCCAGGATCGTATGTGAACAGCAACATCGCTGGGTTCGTGAATCTACTAGAAGTCTCGAAATCGGCGAATCCTCAGCCTGCGATTGTCTGGGCTTCTTCTAGCTCCGTTTACGGTCTCAATTCGAAAGTACCCTTCTCGGAGAAAGACCGTACGGATCAGCCGGCGAGCTTATACGCAGCGACGAAGAAAGCAGGTGAAGGAATCGCACATACTTATAACCATATCTACGGTTTATCTCTTACGGGTCTGAGATTCTTCACTGTTTATGGACCTTGGGGAAGACCAGACATGGCGTATTTCTTCTTCACTAAAGATATTCTCAAAGGGAAGACGATTACAGTGTTTGAGTCTCCTGATAAAGGTAGTGTTGCTAGGGATTTCACTTACATTGATGATATCGTGAAAGGCTGTTTAGGTGCGTTAGATACTGCTGAGAAGAGTACTGGTAGTGGTGGGAAGAAGAAAGGTCCTGCAATGTTTAGGATTTACAATTTGGGGAATACTTCTCCTGTTCCTGTGACTAAGCTTGTGACGATATTGGAGAAGCTTTTGAAGATGAAAGCTAAGAAAAAGATCATGCCTTTACCGAGGAATGGGGATGTCGAGTTCACTCATGCGAATATCACGTTGGCGCAAGCAGAGATCGGTTATAAACCCTCGGTTGATCTTGAGACGGGTCTTAAAAAGTTTGTGAAATGGTACATGGGGTTTTACACAGGCTCGAAGAAGAAGAGTTCTTGGTGAGAGTGAGAGCTCTCTCTCTCTGCTTTAGTCCCTCTTGAGTTCGGAGTTTGGCAGCTTAAAGGTTAAACGCCGAGGAAAAATGGCTCCACTGTTAATGGACAAACACATGGTTATCTCAATTACATATCTGCATTATTTTTCTGTGTTGCTAGATTTTTGCTTCATTTATTTGTTAGTAGATTTTGGGCAATGTACAGCGTCATGAGTTTAGGTGTTTGTTTCTACTGTGGAAACTCAGATTGTCTTTTTCGTTCTTGTCGGAAGAATAAAATTAGCTTGGAATTTGATGCATATACTCTGTAGTAGTAATTCAATCTATTTTGTTACCTTATATCTTGTGAATCCAAACCTATCTTTATAATACTCGCTTTACTCTGACTAAAATATACATAGCTCTAGACATTTGTTTAACCATATGATGATTTGGGAATGACAATTAAAATCACTGCATAATCTCTGAGAACAAGAAACAATGGATTTAAGAATCTGCAGGAGAACAGAAACTGAGATAAAAAGCTTACTATGCTGCACTTAATAAGAATATCTTCTACTTTTGCGGTCACTGATGCAATATGCCGACAGATTCAACAAGATTGTTTTGTAGCCTGAAGAATTATGAACCTATATACCATGTTAATGCCCTAGAAACTATATAAAAGTTGTTCGTTAGCTTTCTAGTGATCTATCTTCCTCCGTGGAACCAATCCCAACAATGCTATGATGTTATCGACAAGGTCTTGAAGATCCAACACCATCTCCATTATCCATCTCCCACCAATCACCACCATCTCGAATCTCCACAGGTTCTACCTTTGTTCCATTCTCAATTTCATCATCATTACCACAATCAAACTCGCAATCCCGACAACACTAAGATGTTATTGACAATGTCTTGAAGATCCAACACCATTTTCATTATCTATCTCCCACCAATTCCCACCATCATCTCCAATCTCCACGGATTCCACCTCTGTTCCATTCTCAATCTCATCATCATCATAATCAAACTCGTAATCCCAAACGCCGCAAGAACTTTTCTCTTTCTCTAAAGCAGGATCATAAGTCCACTCCAGCTTCTTCAACACATCTCTATCCTTCCACTTGCCCACAACCTTCTCAACTTCCTTCTTCGCCTTCCCCATCACCACTTCCTTCCATGAATACGCAACATCAGCTACTCTCTTCAACGCCCCTTCGTTCAAATCCCCAATCACAACTGTTCTCACACACCTCTCCTTGGCTTCCCACAAAATCTCTGCAAAACCAGAATCATCAGACACAAGAACCACACATTCAACTTCTCTCTTATCCATCACGTCCACCATATGTTCTTTCAACGCTCTATCTGCAGCTTCTGGCTTATCACTCACCATTTTCACCCAAAAACAAGCTCGTTTCAGCTCATCTGCTAACCCATAACCTTCTTTAGGAGTCATAATGTTCCTCGCAGCTCGTTTATACTTCTCCAACTTCATCGAGTACTTAGCCACAAGCCTCACTCTTTGGTGTCCTTTCGCAGATTCAATCTGTCTCATACGTTTCTGATTCTCCGTCTCGTGAATCTGCCGGAAATGACTGATGAGTTTCTCGTTCGTGTAGAATCTCCGGTCGCAAACGCCGCAGAAGTAAGGATCCGGAGGTTTAACTAAACCCTTGTTCTCCAGCTGGTTCAGCAATTTCCTCTCTTTCCTCTGTTCTCGAACCTCTACGGGAACGTAGCTGAAGGCGTGACGGTTCGCATAAGCCACCATCAGCTTCACGAACCCGAAAGACGACGCGGCGGTCCGGAGCTTGACGGCCGCGTCGTAAGGCGGGAAAGATGCCGGTGATTTGTTGTCTAGATCCCAGAAAACCGCCACACGGATTGTGGGTTTAGGGTTTATCGAGCTAAAACCTCTGATTGAATCGAGAGACATAACAGGGGTTATTGGTCTCCGAATTCTAAGGACGAATCTCGAAAACATCGCCGGAATCTTCATATTCACAGAGGGAGAATTCGAAATCACGGGTTACAAACCAAACCCCGACCCGAATCCGATTTATACAACTCGATTCCAGTCTAGATTTCGGTGACTCGCATGTCAGAGTTCAGTGACAGTCTCTAGAAGGGTTCGAACTAAGAAGACGAAAGAAGTATAAAAGAATAATGCCAATAACCCCAAAATTTTGTAAATTTTACAGTTTCTTCCTTAACTTTAAAAAGGGAACGAACAATATGTTTCAAACAGAAACATTTAACGGAGAGATAACAGAGAGCTGTCGACATAAACTACATAAAGTTATCAACCGCCCGTCAACGTTCACGCGATGACTGTGCCGTGACTGTATTAGTCATTATACCCTTATAATAATGGGAAATTTGGTGGCGACGACGAGAATTATATATGTGTCTGAAAACTAAATTTTTTATGGTGTGGAAAGTAATATAAACTTTCTCAACTCTTTTCTATTCTAACATCTCTTGAGAATGATAACATATAAGTTTTTACATTTTCATTTTCTCTGACAGCTTTCTTTTTCATCAACTTTAATTCAAATTACTTTCCCACACCTTTATAGTCAAGCTTAGATCTTAGCTACCACACACATATCCTCTCTTCTCTTATTTCGGCGACTATCCATCTTGCTTCCCCGTTTCCGTCAAGATCAAGCGGAATTTGACACGGCGAATCTTTATATTACTGCGGTTTAAAGCTCCGAACATGGTGGACAAATCTTGTGAACCATCGCCTTTTTTATCCGCAGCGAATATTGAAAGGTACATGTTTAGTCGTTGACACATCTACTTCAACTCTGTTATTGTTTCGTAATTTGAATGTTATCTGATTTTACTCGCAGTTACCCGCATACATCGTCGTTAATTTCCAGGATCTAGAATTTTAATTTTTCTCAGCTAGATTTCTCGTTATTCTTCCTCTTTTTGGACACATAAACGTTTGTCTCATAGTCCATTTCTAGTGATTCATGATTTTGGTATTTTTTACCAGCCCACTCTCATTCTCATCCGTCTTATAAATATCCAGATCTATGCTTTCAGATCTGAGTAGTCGACATCCGTCTTAACAGTTCCGCCATTTTTTTGTTGTTATTGATATCTGGTTCTCTTGATTTTGTAGATTTAGAATAGTTAACTATTTTTTTATGCATACTGAGTAAATAGTAACTACATTGAATATAATCATTAATAATCGTTTACTCTTATCATCTATAACAGATACAATAAATAACTACTCTATATTCAGTTAGTCTACATATCTACTATGCACATATAACCCACTACCAATATAACTATGGGTAGTTAACTATGTTATAACAATAGCTAACTTTTTGCCATTTTTCCTTTGTAGGGATATGTGTTCTCTTCGACAATGTGAACCCACACTGTTTGCAAATAATGTGCTTCTCCAGATTCGCGATGCACTCGTTGATGTCTTTGTAAGGGTTGCTTGATATTCTGCAAATGATGCTTGTTCATTTGCTTGTTCATGTAAGGTTTTAAACAAAACATTCAAGGAATCATCTCTCATCAAGGCGCTTAACCTATCTGCCTTCATTAAACAGTTCAACTTAATGAAGCGCTACCCTGAATTATTTGAGTCAGCGAAAATGGATAACTACCAATAATTGACTTTGAGTAGTAGCTATCTAATCTAGATAGACAATTATTAATACTTACTTAAGTATTAGAATCAACTTAGAGTTTATGGAGAAATTAGACAACTACTAATAATCGATTTGGAGTACTATCTATCTAATCGAAATATGTTACAAAGTAGTCAACGTCTCGGTGTCATTCAAACGAACCTTCATTTTAAACATAGTCACCTACTAGTAGTCGTCTACTAGAAATATATGAACACAACAAACAAAAGAATTAGAATTAAAAGGGACGTCTATACTGAAGTGATACATGACTAGTTGGTATATGTCTATTTATTTTCAACTTGGTGCAACTATAGAAAGTATCGTCCAAAATTTCTCACACTTTCAGAGTGAGAGAATGTTTGTCTGAGGGGGATACAACTTTTTATGAAAATAGTTGTCTACTACATATCCATATACTCTGAGCTAATGATTTTCTATGAAAATAGTCAATTGTGGCTATAAAGTTACCATTGTGACACCTTCCAAGACACCTGGTACAAAGCTTTGCCGTATTCCTCAAATTTCTCTGTGTCATTCAAACGAATTGGATCAACCACATTTCTACCACAAAGTAGTCAACTATGACTCATTATAAAAAGCTCACTATGTTACAAACACTAAATAGTTGACTATGTTACCTTCATTTCTCCTCTGGATGAGAACTTTATTTTCTTTGGTCAACCATCTGGTCAGCGTATAAATGGAGGAAGTAGTTCTGAGACACCATAACATACATGAGTTGGTACGAGGTGGAATGATCTTTCATAAAGGGATCTCCAAAATCTAGTTTGTTTCTCTAGATACACCTCTCCCATAGGCTTCTCGTTTGCAAAGAAGCAGTTACCGATAACTTGATATGTACACCTCTCCTATTTTTCTGTTGTAAACTTCATACTCATCGTGGCCAACAACAACTACCTACATTTTAAACATAGTCATCTATTTGTAGTCGTCTACTATAAAAATATGAACACAACAAACAAAAAAAATAAAATTGAATAGAATGTCTATACTGAAGTGATATGTGACTACTTGGTATATGTCTATTTACTTTCAACTTGATGCAACCATAGAAAATATCGTCCATAATGTCTCATAGTTTTAGAATGAGAAGATGTTCATCTGAGGCGGATACAACTTCTTTATGAAAATAGTCGTCTACTACATAACTGCATATTCTGAACAAATATTTTTTATGAAAATAGTCAATTATTCCATAGAGCTATCTCAGATTTTAAATGATATGAGCAAAAAGACACCGTGTATAATTTCTTGAGAAAATACGAACCATAACGCTAAAAATCAGAAACTTGAATGTTTGGTTCATGGGTGTTGTGTTAGTGGCTATTTATCTGATCCACAAAGGTCTCCTTGAAATTAACATATTCGTACACGTAATACTAGACGACAACAACGTTTAAAGTTTGCTAAAGTAACAATAAAGTTTATGCTGCTATTGTTCCAAAAAGCAGATAACGTCTGTGTCTTGATAAGTTGGTGTGGTCCCAACCTTAGTCAGAAAAAGTAATATCTAGATTTAGAGAATAAAGGGTGTAATGTCATTTCCACATACCTTTTCTCCTTGACTTGTGCTATCCACTTAATTGACTGATTTCCTATGTTAGTTACTTAATTTATTTTCTCAGAAGTAATATTGATGCAAATCACCCTATAATAATGGTCATCATGACTCATCAAAATCTCACACGGTTGATACGAGTTCCGTCATTCCTATTGAAAGTATTTAGGTTTGAGCAACTTTGTAATAATATTTTAAAAAATTCTCTGTATTTTGAAAATTAATTCAATATTTTTACATTTAAAATTACAAAAATATTGTAAATAGATAAAATATATGAAGTACTTTTCAACCAAATTGTATTATTATTGGATAATCATCTCTAGTAAGAACTAAGAATATAATAATATTATCTTACATGATCATAAAAGAAAAAAAAAGTAGACGTTACAAACAAAAGAAAATAGAAATTTTATTTGGCAAGTGTTAGTTTAGGAGGCATCAGAACTGAACTAGTAGCCCAAGGTGGTTTATCCAACCTATTTTATTTACAAAAAAAAATACTTTTTGCTAAATAGTAAGGGTTTTTTTTTAAATATCCATTTTAGCAAGGTTATACGAATTACGAAATTGTGGAGCAAAACTTATGAATAGGCGAAGCAAAATATATTGATAGCTCAGACATGAAAAGATCCAAATATATTCAAATTACTCAATTCAGAAATGTAATATACCCACATAGTAAAATGTATTGAATGAAGTGAATGCAAATAATGCAATGAATGAGGATAATGCAGAGAATAAAGAGAATGCAGTGAACGGAGAAAATGAAGTGAATGATTGGTAGAGTGAATGACAGTAATCGAGTAAGTGAATCTGAAGTGAATGACGGAAGCGTGAATGGCGGGAGCGTGAATGATGGAGGCGTAGCCGATAATGGTGGTAGAGATGGGTGCGTAGACGATAATGGTGATAGAGATGAGTAGTAGTAGAGGGAATGAAAGTAATATGGTGGAGGTGTGTTCAAATAACGGACATGACTCTAAACAAATCAAAAAGATGAATCATACCATATTAAACTTTTTTAAATATCCAGTTTTACTCTATAATGAATTTTAATTCATTATTAAAAGTAGCTATTTAACAGTTGTATTATACATATTAGTTATACTAGTTGTACATATCAGTTGTAAATTATACTAGCTAGTTTTACATGTACTAGCAATCAAGGATTTCTGGCAGGTGGATGATAGCACAATTGTTTTTATGGCTGATCCGACTTTTGGTAACATGATCCAAACCTCATTGTTAATCTCTTTCAAGTATCTCTAATGGGAAACTGATGGGATTTGAAACAGGGAACATACTGAATTTCAATGTTGGGGCTATGGTTGATTTAGACATACCTCGTAGTTTCTGGAGTCGATTGGCTGGGAAATACGGCAACATGTTTTACTGGAAAGAAAAGGCAAGAAGGGAAAAGAACACTCCTTTTAAAAAACAAATCTTTCCTAAATTCTTAATCGTTAACAAAATTGTCTTGAAACCAGGGAGTGTTGAACTTCATTCTTTTAAGGTATGTTTTCTTCTCTCTCTCCCTTTTGAATATCGATTTGCTTAACTCTGCTTTTCATTCATGATTTTTCACTTCTTTCATTACATTCATTCTTCTAGTACTTATAGAACTTCTTCTTTAACTACTCTTACTAATCATCACTTCTACACCTTAACTCTAACTCATACTCTCTTACACAACTGTTTTTGACTAGGACTTCTAACAACTCTACTTGTTACTTTAACTACTCATACTTAGGCTTAATGATGCAACACCATACACTTACACACAACCTCTTCTTCTTTTCTTCACTTGGGCTTGTTCCAAAACCGTAGGCCCACTTGATTATTCTTAGTGGCCCAACTCCTTCCTTTGACTAACTCACTTTGACTTTTCTCTTCACCTTCTTCCTTCTTCTCTTCGACACTTCCTTTCTTCCTCTCTTCTCTTTAGTTCATCATCATCATCGCTTTCTCCTTATGCTGCTTTCCATCTTTTCCTTTTGCAGGAACACTCAAAGGATCATCTCTCAACACTCCCTCTTGAGCCTTTGAGTTGTTCCCTTGATTCCAACTTAGGGTTTTGTAGTTCAGGGTCCTTGGTTCTTCTTTCTTCATTACTTTGCTCTTCAGAACATCAGCGTAGCTTCTGGGTAAGCTCACTTTCTTAATCTCTTCCTCAATCTGAGTTTTCTTGGACTCAATTTCTTCTTCTCTTTTCAATTTCGGTTCTCCCTCTTGAACCAATTTCTGATTGATCGATTTTTGACTTTCTTCTTTCTTCAGATGCTTAACTGAGGAGTCACTGCTCCCTCTATTCTTCTGTACTTCGCAGTCAGGTACTTTCTTTACCTCTCCTTGGTTTGAGCTTTGCACCTGTTGTTTCTCCTTCTCATTTGTCTTGTTTTTGTTGATTGATCTCTGGTTTTGATGGCTGACTCCAAGACCATCTATCTCCTGAATCATCAGTGATCTCTTGAACCAATTCCATGAAGACTTCTCAGAGTTCTTGTTGAGTTTGATTTGAGCTCCTCTTGAGCTTCTGCCAATTATACCGTCGATCAGCTTCTGCTCCTTCTCCTTCAAAGATAAGTTTTCTTCTTTCTGACTTGAATCATTTTTGATTTCCTTCTTGGTTAGTTTGGCTTCTTGAGCAACAGCTTTGGTTTTCTTGATCTCTGTTTCTCTTATGTTGGACTCAGTCTCCTTCTGTTTCTCAGCATTAATCATCGGTGTCTTTTCTCTTCTTGTTGCAGACTCTTCTTCGATTTTGCAATGGTATTGTTGGGCTCGATGCTTCAGCATACCCTGCATTTTGACAATCGTACTCTGTCTTCTTTCTTGAAGCTGCTTTTGCGATTTCTTCACTCAAGGGCATGTGAAGATGAAAGTTTTTCTTGGCCATCATTACTTCAGCAATCCTTTTTCCAGCTCGGTCCAGAATAGTATAGCTTCTGCGTTTGAAGGTAACTGTGTACCCATTCTCTATCATTTGAGAGACACTCAGAAGATTCTTAGCAATGTTGGGTACTAGAAGTACATTCTTGATAATCCTCTTGCCTTTGGTTGTCATTACTTCGATATCTCTTTTTCCTTTGGTGTTTAGTGCAGTTCCATCACCAACTCTGATTGGCACATTGAAGCTGGTATCAAGCCTTTTGAACAGCTTCTCGTTGGGGGTCATGTGGTTGGTACAACCACTGTCAATAAGCCAGGTATCCTCTTCAAAGAGTCTTACATCTTCTTGTTTTGCTGAGAACATGTGATATTCTTCTTCTTCTTCATCTTCTTCTTCTTGAGTCGCTTGAGCTTGTTCTGTTTTCTTGTTTCTGCAGTCTCTTGACAAGTGCCCTTGTTTGCCGCAGGTGAAGCAACTCCTTGTGTCTCTGTTCCTATTGAAGTCAGGTCTGCCCCTTCCATTCTTGAAATAACAAACCTCCTCATTGTGAGTATCTCTTTTACAGAACCCACACCACCTCTTCTCTCTGTAGCTTGACTGACTGGAGTTTCCTATTTCATTGTTTTCGATTTTCAGGTTCTTGAATCGAGCATGGAATGCTCCTTCACCATTCTCCTCATCTTCATCTGGAAAGTACTTCTTCTCATGTGCTTCAAGGGACCCTATCAGTTCCGCATAGGTGACTGTATAGAGATCCTTAGTTTCTTCCATCAATGAAGCTAGACCAGCATAACTCTTTGGCATAGAAGCTAACACCTTAACTACCAGGTCAAAGTTTGATCTTTCTCCTCCTAAAGCTCTCATTTGATTTGCTATAGCTTGTATCCTATCAGAATAGGCTTTAACTTTCTCTCCTTCTTTCATTTTCAAGTTTTCAAACTCTCTCCTAAGAGATTGCAATCTAACCATTTTTACTTTTTCATTACCTTGGTAGGAATGCTCTAGAAGATCCCAAGCCTCTTTTGCAGTGGATGCAGAGAAGATTTTGTCAAAGATAGTATCGGCTACAGCATATTGGATGATTTGGAGAGCAGCGGTATCTTTGGTCTTGAGGGTCTTCAAGTTAGTTGTCTCCTTTGATTTGTCAGCTCCTGGTGTTTCTGGTGACTTCGAAGACATGTCTGGGAGTCCATCCTTGACAATTTCCCATAACTCCTTATTCTTCAGAGTTGTTCTCATTCTTGCAGCCCAGAACTCATAGTTCTGACCATCAAATACAGCCACCGATTGAGATGTCTGTAGGTTTATCGCCATTTGATCTTTCTTGTTCTTCCTTTCTTCTGGTTTCTTCTGATTTTGCTTCTTGGTTTTCTTGTAACAGGTCACAAGGACAACCTGGCTCTGATACCATGTTGAACTTCACTCTTTTAAGGTATGTTTTCTTCTCTCTCTCTCCCTTTTGAATATCGATTTGCTTAACTCTGCTTTTCATTCATGATTTCTCACTTCTTTCATTACATTCATTCTTCTAGTACTTATAGAACTTCTTCTTTAACTACTTTTACTAATCATCACTTCTACACCTTAACTCTAACTCATAGACTCTCTTACACAACTGTTTTTGACTAGGACTTCTAACAACTCTACTTGTTACTTTAACTACTCATACTTAGGCTTAATGATGCAACAACATACACTTACACACAACCTCTTCTTCTTTTCTTCACTTGGGCTTGTTCCAAAACCGTAGGCCCACTTGATTATTCTTAGTGGCCCAACTCCTTCCTTTGACTAACTCACTTTGACTTTTCTCTTCACCTTCTTCCTTCTTCTCTTCGACACTTCCTTTCTTCCTCTCTTTTCTTTAGTTCATCATCATCATCGCTTTCTCCTTATGCTGCTTTCCATCTTTTCCTTTTGCAGGAACACTCAAAGGATCATCTCTCAACAGGGAGAAGATGCATCCATCGAAGCTGCAGTGATGGCGATATCAAGTTGCTTACGAGAACCCGTTGGTCCAAACAACTGTGCAGAGATAAAGTGAAGTATGAACCCCTCAAAATGTACCTATTCTTAACACTGTATAGATTGGTATCAAGAAGAAACAGAATTTGGAAGAACGAATCACTTCTCCAGTACATTTTCTTGTTGTTCTTTTAAGTAGACTCTCAGAAATGTGCTGGGAATGAAAGTTTCTTGTGAAAGCTTCTGTTCTTGTACTGATTCTGCAGCCTGATAGTGATGAATACAAAAATCACTAATATCAACTTGCTATTTTAAATGGATAAACGGAAATGACCAAAAAGGCACATTAGTATATTAACATACTGTACATGACAAACATTAAAAAAACCCAGACATGATGTTAGAAAGACAACTTTTTATTTGAATTTGTCATTTTAGACAACTTTTCTAAAATAACATAAAGATTCTAAAATCTGATCTGTCGGAATAAATATTGTAGAAATTAGTTATGACTTATGAATTAGATTCTAAAGACCCAAGAAGAACATCACTACCTGGTATTCTACCTTCTGTGGTAGCAAGAGTTGTTGAACCGACATGAGAAATAGGATCTATACGGCACCTCATAGCTCTATTCATGTTCAAGGCAAAACAAAGTAATAAATCTTACGCCTACGGTACAATAATTTTACAATATAGCCATCTTTACGAAGGATTTTAAAATGAATACTTGCCGGCGTATTAGACTTAATTAGTCACAAAACTGTTGTAGTTTATACACATTGTGGTTCTTGAAGTGGTTTTGATTTAGTCATTTATTAGATGAGGTGAATATGTACTGTTAACAAATTCTCTTAATTAAACCATTGTTGGGTGCTTTCTTTACCATATAGGACTCAGATTTAATCATCTTGTAGTGATTCTTGAACTTGTCAAAGGAAAGTTCATCTGGGCTGGCCCATAACTTGTTTATTTTATTTTTATTTTGACGGCAGCTTCATTTATTTACAAAATCGTGAAAAGATGTTAATCTGTACACCACGGCATCAAAATCAAAGCTGATCAGTGATCATTCTCAATGATTTAGTTTTTCGGCCAACCTCACTACAAGAAAACAGAGATTTAGAGACCTCATATACAGTCGCTAATTAGTCGCTAACACTAAATTTACGACCGAGTTCCGACTAATAGCATCAGTCGCTAATATTGAGTCGCTAAATCAATTAGTCGCCTATCAGTCGCCAAATACCGACTGAATAACGACTAAATGTTGACGAAGTTAATCAGTCGCAAAGTAGTCGTTACCTTAGCGACTGATTGACGACTGTTGTTGCGACGTATTTGCGACTGAATGGCGACCATATGGTTCGATAATTGAATGATATTTGGTGCAATTTAACGACTGTTTTGCGACGTATTTATGACTGTATTCCGACTGATTTACGACTGCATTGCGACGGCTTCAATAAATGAAAACAAAATCTAGTTTTACGATTAGATTCTTCCAAATCTGATAATTTGAATCCATTCTACATTTTAAATAACAATTTAACAGCAAAAAAATATTCAAATGCAAAATGCAAAAAGTCATTATATTACATAATACCATTGTTTTAAAAAAAGACATAAAACCATTGTTCCAAAAGGTACTAAACAAAGATCAAATGGTTACATACTTAACCATTGAGATAAGTTCAAAAGAGTGAGCCGAGATACTTAAAAAAGAGACATAGAAAAACCTTAAGAGTGAGTTTGATCACTTGGAAGAGTTTGATTTGCAGCCAAAAAATCCATGAACTTTGGATCAGTTTCAGTCAAATACTTCTCCACCATAGATAACTTGTCCAGCTTGGCTTGTTGCTCTGCTTCACGCTTGGAGTTCTCAGCCGCTTGTTCTTCTATTTTGCGATGAGCTTCTTGTAGCTGCTCTTCCAATCCCTTGTATGTTGAAGAGCTTCCTGGGCTTTTCCTCTTTCCATTGACATGTGTCTCTGAAAGACTTCCAATTCCATAAGGAATACCTCGCTCATTTATGAAAGTCGACTGCAAAAACAAAATAAGGATCAAAGCATCAATGCATATATATTAACATCAAAGCATCAAACAAAATAACAACTTGAAAGCTATAGAAGCAAAGCATAATATAAAAGAACACATCAAAAATAAAAAACGAAGACTTTACCTGAAGAAAAATCTCATTCTCCTCTTCTATGGTTAGCCCCAACGATGGTGAAGTACCATCTGAAGTCTCTGAGTCTATCCCGCGAATTGCCAACTTGGATTCCAGGTTCTTCCTATAAGCCTCAGCCACAGTCTTGGACTTTTGGTCTACAAATGTTCCATCTCGTTTTGTATGAACCTTGATGAAAACTTCACCAAGGCTCACCGGTCTTCCCAACTCTTCTTCCTGAAATGATAACAATATAAAGAAAGAGTTAGTTCCCATCTGACTAAAGATGATATATAACTTATGAGAAAGTTAAAAATTGATATACTTACCATTTCTTGTTGGATTTGGAGGCATGACTTCTGCCCTGAGAAGTGAACATGAGGACCAAGTCCATTACGCTCAGACATCCGAGCAGCTGATGTGGTGGAACTCTTCTCTTTGGCTTCTTCAGTGTCCCAATACTCTGTCATTTGTTTCCAAGTGGTATCTCCAATCCAGTTTGGTTGTTCTCGAGAAGCCCTAACCTTGCTGACCATGTCTTTCATCCGGAGGAGACATACTCTCTCAAACCTTTCTTGAACCACACCGGTTAATAAAGGATCCCAAGTGTGGGTTTTCTACCAAAAAAATAGAGAAGATGATGTTAGTGAGCAATAAAAAACAAATGGCTCATATGTATCAACACAAAAAAGGAGAATATGGATAGAGAACCTTACCGCGAATTCAATAAAGAATCTTTCCTGTCTCTCCCGAGGCACACATGTCCAGCTATAAAATGGGCCATCGAACTTGTTACAGAAAATTTTTGTTATCTTCCGAGTCAGGGAAGACTTGTCACGCCCAAACCTGCAAGCACACAATAAAGTAAAGAAACAGTTACAATCCTAAACCCAATACTAAGATAAGAAAATAAACAGTCCATAAACAAATCTAACAAATCTAAGCCAAGTACCATAACAACTCTAAACCCTAAATCATAACAATTCTAAGCCAAGTACCCTAACAACTCTAAACAATCATACAAATTCTAGCCAAAAAACCCTAAACTATGCAATTAGATTACTTGAAATCATACCATGTTGTGTTCGGCTTCTTTATGGGAGAGAGGACTGTGGTGTATGCTTCCCTGCCAGGCTGAGTGAGCAAGGCATTGAGAATTCGTTGCTGGTCTTCCGCGAGATTCACCGGGCATAGAGCTTCTTCTTCTTCTTCTTCCGGAAATACACTTTGAGCGTCAGAAGCTTGCTCGTGTTGTTGTTGAGAGACAGATTGCTGTTGACCGCGTGGAGATGGTTGCTCATGAGATCGAGACTCTGGTCCTCGATGTGGATTCTGCGAGTTCGGGAACAACTGCGCCGGTGGTGGATAATCCCTCACGGATACTGATGGTTGCTGCGTGGGGACAACCGGCGGCGATGGCGAGGGCGTGAAGTCGTAACGACCTAGCAGAGGCGACGACGATCTGGCTTGCGATGGTGCCACACCTCCTCTGCCTCGTCCTCTCTTCCTTCCACCACGACCACCCATCCTCTAATCGTTGAAGAACAAGTTGCTAATTGGGGATTTGGGGATTTTTGGTGAGATTTCTGGGTTGGGAGAGAAAGGGATTAGGGTTTCGTCGAAGAGATTTGGGGAATTTTTGTTAGGTGGTTAGGGTTCTCGAATTTTTGGTGAGATTTCTCGAGTGTTTAAATGGATTTGGGCTTTGTTTACATTTTTTTATATTTTGGGCCGAAATGTAGTCGCAAAGTAGTCGCCAATTCTCGACTACCGTAAATTAGTCGTTAAATACTGATCCAGTTACGACTGTTTTAATTAGTCGTAAATTGGAGACAAATCAGTGGCCAATTAGTCGTAATAGTTAGCAACTGCCAAATCAGTCGCTAAATGTCGTCGCCAATTAACTGTTTTCTTGTAGTGCCTTAACAACCCTCATTACTAAATCTGACCTTAAACTTACTAGTCTAGAAACGCGAATATAAATTATTATTAAATTGAAATATATATTTATCTCTAAACCGAGCATTGAATTTGCGTTTGGTCGACGACTTGTAAATCGTAATACTGTACTGCTTTAAAGTATTTGCAACTATACATATGATAAAGCAAGAGCTTGCAATTATAAATGCGTGAGAAGAGAGAACACAGCTATGCGAAAAGCTGGTCTCGTAAACTGATTCGGCCAAAAGATAAAAATCATTCAGTAATACTTTATTGTTTTTTTGTTTTTGGTTTTATAATACTTTATTGTTTTTTGAGGAAAATGTGTAAGTTGCAGAGGCCGACGACCTTGCCCTCCATTAATACAAAATCCGAAGCTACAATTTGCTAGCTGTAATAATCGTTAAAGAAATTGATCGTTGACTTTGTTATAACTCGGGGACAGCCTGTAAGCAATTGAAACTGTCTCTGTTTTTTAAAATTAATTTTCATACTTATTATTTGTATATGACAATTAGTAGCGCATTCAGAAACAAACATTACCGATCAAATTCTCGCTGATATATCAAAAGGGACAATATCTCTCCCTCAAAAGGCAAACACAAACACACAATGTATTCACCTCCGGAGCTGAAGCTCATACCACTCATCTCTCAAGTAATCTGTTTCAAAGAAGACACGACGGATTCAGGTGGTTCGGAGTCCAAGATCATATCACTCATGGTAAAAGTAATCTCTGTAGTCAGCTCAATGGATTCTGAGCCGCAGCCGGAGTCTACAAAGCTCATGTCACTTGTTACTCAAGCAATCTCTGTGTTCAAGTCCATGGATTTGGATTCCCAGCCGGAGCCTCTGTCGAAGCTAATAACAATGTTCACTAAAAAATTATCAATGGACTCGGATTGTGACGACTCGGAGTTTCTGTCACTCTACTATGAAACATTCAAGCTGGATCCGAGGCCGGAGCTGATATCAATCATCCCGAAGATAGTCTCCCTCTTCACCACCACTACGGATCCGGAGTTGACGCCACTCGTTGCTGAAACATGGAGGCTCAAGTCGTCGGAGCCAGAGTCGGAGTTCATATCACTCCTTTCTCAGATATACTATTTCAATACATTGTTTGGGGAGCTCTCGTCGGAGTCGAACATCATGGAGTTAATTCCAAAGACCGTCTTATACATATCACTTATTAGACAAATAATCTCTCTCGTCAGCTCTTTGGATTTGGATTCGCAGCCGAAGCCGCAGACCGAGATCATGTCAGTCCTTACTCAAACAGTCTCTGTCGCCAACTCTGTATCAGAATCGGAACCGGAGTGGGAGTGCATATCACTCATGACTCGGTTCATTGCTCTCATTCGCTCTTCAGATCCAGAGCAGATGCCACCGGCGCAGCTCTTCGTACTCCTGAATAATGTAGCTTCTCACATATACTCTATGGATGAAGATTCCGAGCTCGGTTCACTCATTGGTCAACTATTTGAATTCTCCGACCCTTCGGATTTGGAGCCGCCAGAGGAAGAGTGGGAGCTGGATCACCTTATTTCTTTGTCCCCTCAGTTAAAAGTAGAGCTTGTTCAAGGAAAATTTCACGTGACCGGAAAAGTCCAGCGGAAGAGCCAAGAAAAGGGGCAATGTCTACCTGGAAACCGGCAGAGAGTCTACTTAGCAGCAAGAGTAGGAGGAGAAGAAGCCACCCATTTCCTCTGCAAAGATTGCAATGGCGAGGACCATGAAGAATGTGAAAAGACTCTAGTTGAGGTCACACACCATCTCCATCCAAAACACTCTCTTCAACTTGTCTCCCAGAAGAAGAAGAAGTCATCGTCAAGAATTCAACCAAGAAAATGCTTCTGCTGCGATGAAGATCTCGATAAGATATTTTACTACTGTGAGGCTTGTGATTATGCTATGAATATAGCTTGTACGAACAAACCACCAGTCTTATCGATAGACCATCCCAAGTGGCATGAGCATACTCTTTCTCTGTTTCCAAGGCGGGCTTTCTTAACTTGCAACCTCTGCGCCTTGTCCGATGCAAGCTCCCCTATCTATATGTGTCCCCCTTGTGATTTTGTGGTCCATCTAAGGTGTATGAAGTTACCACGTGTCATAAGGATATCTCGCCATCCTCACCGTATCTCTTTTACCCCTTCTTTTTCTGACAACCAAGGAGATTGGTCTTGTGGTGTTTGTCGCAAGCATATCGACAATGATTACGGAGGTTATTCTTGCAACAAAAACGATTGCTCCTATGCGGCTCATTCAAGATGTGCCACACAAAGCAACGTGTGGGATGGCATAGACCTTGATGGAGTGCCAGAAGACATTGAAGAAGAAGTTGAGGAACCTTTTCTTCGGATAAGCCATGGAATCATACAACATTTCAGTCATCAACAACATCATCTGAGACTTGATGACAACACCGGCGGAGACTACGATGACAATAAGGAGTGTCAAGCATGCGTCACGCCAATCTATTTCGGTAAATTCTACTCCTGTGTGGAATGTGATTTCATTCTACACGAAGCTTGTGCGAATCTTTCTCGCAAAATACATCACCCAATACATCCACATCTGCTCACTCTAGTGGGAGGATGTGATGGTGTTCCAAATTTTTACGATAACTGCTCAGCTTGTCTTTGGTCGTGCATAGCTGGTTTCTTCTACGAGTGCGGTAAAGAAGGATGTAGTTTTAAGCTGCATGTCCAGTGCGCCACAGTTTCTGAGCCACTAGTCCAAGAAAGTCATAACCATCCTTTATTCCTTACATCTAAACCAGGAGAGCAAAGTGCATGTTCGGTTTGCAGAGAGGCAAGACCTGAATTCACAAACGAAACATTCAACTGCATTGAGTGCGAATTTTCTTTGTGTTTTGGATGTGCTACTTTACCTCAAAAAGTGAGGTATAAGCATGATAAGCACATACTCACTCTTTCTTTTGGGGAGGAGACAAGTACCATGATGCATTGGTGTGAAGCTTGCGAGAGAAGAATAAATCCAAAGGAGCGGTTTTATAAGTGTGATGAGTATTGTTGTAACACTTTACACATTGAATGTCTGATTGGGAAGGACTTATACATGAAGTCTGGTTCGTATTTCGACCTAGATGGACGTAAGCTAGCTATTCTGCGCAACAATCATATGTCTCGACCAACTTGCTTCGGCTGTAGGAAGCGATGTCCATACAAAATAGTTGTGCAAAATAGCTTATTAATATTTTGCTCCATATCTTGTCTATAGAGGTGACCAAATAAATAGCTTGGTGGTTATTGCTCTTGCTGTATTTAAAATAATAGTTTGGAGTTTTCATTGTTTATATTGATTGGTCAAAATGAAAGACACATTACATTATGTTAACATTCATGAAAAACATTAAAAGATGCTTGAATTAACTTTTTGAGTTTTTTTTTATTTTGTTTATTTAATACTGGTTTCCTCTGTAATGGCCAAGTTATGCTCGTATCAGGTTCCATTTTTGGCACATTAAAGGCAAGAAGGAAGAAGAACACTCTTTGATCTCGATTAACCCCAATGATCAAAGATATTGAGAATACAAAATTACTAATATCAAATGTAAAGGTGGAAATGATCAAAGACACATTCTGATTATGTTAACAATCATGACAAACATTCAAAGAAGCCTCTCTCTCTCCTCTCAGTTAAAAGAGAATCAATCAGACGGTTGATCTGTATTCAAAACTTTTTCCAGGTTCTTCAGTGGATGGGAAAGCCTCCAGTCCAGTTACCATGGCTGCAGGAGGACCACGACGACATCGTTTTTGCATCTCATTAACAGCTTCAGATGGTCCAGAGAAGAGTGCTTCTACCGAACCGTCTCTGCGGTTCCTGACCCATCCCTTTATCCCGAGCTGCTCTGCGTTCTCAACAGTCCAGTTCCGGTAACACACTCCTTGTACTCTTCCCTTTATCACCATCCTCACCTGCACCAACATGTTTACATTTTTCAGTCCATTTTACCAGAGAACCAATATAATCCGATGCTTGAATAAAGTTTTTGAGTATTTACTAGATATCTATACAATCTCCATGGTGATTCAAAGAATAATTTCACTCGAATAGTTGTTAAACTTGGATAAAGAAGAATGGATTTGATTATGTCAAACCAGCATCAAGATACCAATGAACTGAAACCGTATTTAATAAATTCCATAGCGCATCAGATTCACACAAAAAAAATATATATATATAGGCAGATGGATTGTAATTACAGAAATTAGTATGTGATCTTTGCTTCTCTGTCTTATCTTTTGATGGTCTCAAACAAGTCTGAAACTTTAACAATTGACCAATGAAGAATCTAGAATCTGAACAAGCAGCAAAGTTTCAAAGTTAAAAGACTCAGATTTAAGAACTGCTTTTCTTATTGATTTAGAAATTCTCTCAAAACTAAACCAAATTGTCTAAGTAATGAGGAACATCTCTCCTTAAGACTCATATATATAGTATAAGCTAACTCCTTAAACTATATGGAATAGGAAATACAAACCTTATCTAAACAAATAAAATATATCTAAATCTTATCTATAAATCCTGTCATTATCTCTTTAGCATCTTCTAGAAGACATAACTTGGTCTTCAAGTTTGTAATTATCCAACATTCTCCCCCTTAATTCCAACTTGAATTTCGGGTAAGATGATGTCTTCAACTCCAAGCAAGCTTCTCATCTCTTTGAACTTCAGTCTTGCCAACGCCTTAGTGAGTATGTCCGCCTTCTGTTCTGCACCTGGAACATGCTCCACCTCAATCTGACCATTCTCCACACATTCTCGGATAAGATGGTACCTAGAGAGGATGTGTTTGCTTCTTCCATGAAAGACAGGGTTCTTGGTTAATGCTATGGCCGATTTGTTGTCTATTCTAAGTATAACCTTTCCATTGTCAATACTTAGAACTTCTTTCAACAATTCTTGAATCCATATGGCTTGTTTTGCCGCCTCTGTGCATGCCATGAACTATGCTTCACATGAAGATAAAGCAACTGTAGATAACTTCTGAGATGTCCAAGTAATCGGAGATGAGCCTAGATAGAATACATGCCCGCCTGTGCTTCTTCCATCATCAACATCGATATTGTGACTGCTGTCACTATATCCTATGACTTTGCTTGATCCATCTCTTCTGAAGTGTAGGCCGAGATTTGTAGTTCCTCTTACACACCTTAGTATGCGCTTAATGGCTTGTGCATGACTTACTCTTGGACTCTGCATATAGCGACTTAAAACTCCTACTGCATATGCCATGTCAGGTCTTGTATGAAGAAGATACCTTAAACAACCTATTGTCCTCCTATACCGAGTGGCATCAATCTCTTCTTCACTTTCTGCTTTAGAGATCTTTAAGTTCGCTTCCATTGGTATATGGGATAGGTTGCATGTTTCCATCTGAGTATCGATTAGAATTCCCTGAGCATAGCCTCCTTGTTTAATCTTGATACCATATGCTCCTTGAAATACTTCAATACCGAGATAATATGTCAATTTTCCAAGATCTGACATCTCAAACCTGTTTGACATATCATCTTTAAACTGTTCTATGATCTTTTGTGAAGTTCCTGTCACAAATAGATCATCCACATAGATAGCCACAATCAAAGTGTCCTCCTTGTTCTTCTTGAGATACACCGATGGCTCCTTTAGACATTTTTTAAAGTTCATTGTCTTAAGAACTTGATCTAGCTTGATGTTCCAAGCTCTAGGAGCTTGTCGCAGACCATACAAAGCTTTGTGAAGTTTATACACTCGATCCTCTTGTCCTTTCTTTACAAAGCCCTCAGGTTGACTTACATAGACCGTTTCAAGTAGATCACCATTCAGGAAAGCTGTTTTGACGTCCAAGTGATGTATCTCCCATCCTTTTGTTGCGGCTAGAGCAATCAGGAGTCGTATAGTTTTGATCCTTGCCACAGGGGCAAAGACTTCTTCGAAGTCTATACCTTGTTGTTGCACATACCCGTTTGCCACGAGTCTGGCTTTATACTTGTTCACTGATCCATCTGCATTCCTCTTAATCTTGTAAATCCACTTCAGTCCAATAGGTTTGATCCCCTTTGGTCTTGTAACTAGCTCCCATGTTTTATTCCTTGCGATTGAATCCAGTTCAGCCTTCATAGCATCAATCCAATCTTGTAAGTGTTTTGCCTCAAGAAAGTTTTCCGGTTCTCCATCTACTGTTAGAAGTAATCTCTCACTTTCTTGTTCTGCAAACATTACAAAATCTTCTAAGTACCCTGGCTTCTTCACTACTCGGCCAGATCTTGTAGTTAGTTGCTGAGGCTGTTCTTCTTGATTCAGTCCTTGTTCCGTATTTGCTTCTTCTACCACGTTTTGATCAATCGGTTCCTGATCTTGATCAATGTTTTGATCATGATCCTCTTTTGCTTCTTCCTCTACATGATCAGCGTATGGTAGCTTTAGCATCCCCGGTTCTCCTTCTGTTTCTTGTGTTGAAGTTGTCCATTCCCAAGGTTTTTTCTCATCAAAAACCACGTCCCTGCTCACCAGTACTCTTCTAGCTTTTGGATCATAGAGCCTGTAGGCCTTGGAACCCGGTTCTGTTCCAAGATGCACCACAATCTTTGATCTTTCATCTAGTTTCTTCAGATATGGTCCACTGACTTTTGCATAAGCGACACAACCAAAAACCCTCAAGTGTTTTAGGCTTGGTTTCTTGTTCATGAAGCTCTCATAAGGGGTTTGGTGCTTCAACGCCTTTGTTGGAATTCGGTTAATGAGGTAGGTTGCATGACGTACAGCCTCCCCCCATAGAAAATTCGGAATCTTCATCGCCATAAGAAGACTTCTGGTCATCTCCATTAATGTTCGATTCCTTCTCTCCACAACACCATTTTGTTGTGGTGTGTATGGAGCAGTTAGATGTCTTGATATTCCATTCTCTTCACAGAATGTCTTGAACTCAGCTGAGGTAAACTCTCCTCCTCTATCGGTGCGAAAGGTCTTGATAGTTGATCCACTCTGTTTTTCAGCTATCTCTTTGAACCTTTTGAACCGATCGAATGCCTCACTCTTCTCCTTTAGCAGCAGTGTCCACATGTATCTTGAGAAGTCGTCTATTAAGACAAAGACATACCGATTATTTGCTGGTGTTGGTGGTGATATCGGTCCACACAAGTCTCCATGTACCAGCTCTAAAACTTGTGTGGCTCGGAACTTTGCTTGTTTTGGGAATGGTTTTCTTGTTTGCTTTCCTTTTAGGCAAGTCTCACAGATGCTCTTCTCCTGTAGAACTTGTGGCATTCCTAAAACCATCTCCTTATCAACCATGTTCTTCATTACTCCGAAGTTTACATGTCCAAGACGTGAATGCCAAGTCCATGTATTATCATCACCTTCGATATGAAAACATTTAGGGTAACTGATCTCCATTGGTGTTTTGTAGAGACGGTTTTGTGACCTTGTGACCTTCACCAGCAGTCTTCCGTGAGGATCATTCAATGTCAAAGCGTCTCCTTTCATGTGAACTTTGCAACCGTTTTCTGTTGCTTGTCCAAGGCTCAATATATTGTGCTTAAGGTTAGGAATATAGTATATGTCTTTGAGTGCCTTTCTTTCTCCTGTCTTGCCCACAAAAACAATTGTTCCTTTGCCTTCTATATCAACATACGAACCATCTCCGAACTTAACCTTCCCCTTGATGTTTTCATTCAGACTTGAGAAGAATTTCTCATTCCCTGTCATATGGTTGCTCGCACCATTATCAAGATACCACATACTTGCATCGCACTTGTTGGTATCATAGGTCTTCGGCATCACTTTGTCCTCGTTTAAGAATACCACTTCGTGTACATAGAGTGCTTCTCCTTCCTCTGTTTCGTTGAGGTTTGATTCTTGGTTTTTATTTTTCTTTTCTGGACAAGTTGATGCGAAGTGGCCAGGTTTGTCACATATCCAACAGATGACTTTCGACCTGTCCTTCTTGCAATAGTTATGATTGTTAATCATTATATATATTATGAGATTTGTTAAAATTTGGAAATATAACATTATTCCAAAGAAATTTTTAGAAAATTACATGCAAAAAATAAATTTTCTCTATAAATTAATATCACGATAAATTAATAAAATATTATGGTCTCAATATTATTAATTTATAGAGGTTTTACTATAATTGCAGACGCGATTTTTAAAGATGTAAAAGAGTTAAAAGCAAGGAATCTCAAAATAGAATATCTTATTGATCATGGATCATGTAAAAAAAAACATGTTTTGAAGAAATGTCACATGTGTGGATATTAGTACTGTTCGGTAAATTATTTTTAAGAAAAATTAGTTTCAAAAACTTAGAAAAGTAGTGTATTCCAAAAATCAAAAATATTTCAGGTTATCCGCAAAATTAAATCTATAGAAAGCAAATACAAGGAGAGAAGGAAATGATGATGACATGGCGTTAGTAAGATGTGAGTAAGACACTTTTTTATATCTGTGATTTTTTACTTGAATTTGTCATTTTAGATAAATTTTTAAAAATATCATAAAGATGATAAAATCTGATCTGTAGGAATAAATAATGTAGAAATAGTAATGACTTGTGAATTAGATTCTAAAACTTGTTTCCCCCTCCCAAAAGGCAAAACAAAGTAACAATCCCTACGCCTACAGTACAATAATTTTACAATATAGTCATCTTTACAAGGGATTTTAAAATGAATAATTGCCGCATAATGAGACTAGATTTATGAACTAGATTTATGATCGCGTGGAATTTAATTTTTAAGTAGCTAATTCATCATATTCATCTTTTTATTTTCTTGATTTTATTAAACTCGTTTCTCCATCTTCATATTATCATAGTTTATTATATTAATTTTCAATTTTCTTTTTCATCTTCAATATTTTGTCCTCGTATGTTTTAAAATTCATCTTTTTTTAATTTTATTTCTTCGTTTTTATTTTGGTTTTTCTTCATCTTTTTTTTTGTTTTGTCTTTTATTTTTAATTATCTTGTGTATATATTATTTCTCTTCTATTTCATCTTATATTTTATCTTTATCTGCATGTTTTTCTTTATATT